TAAACCCTAGGCTAATTTCGAATTTAACAAAACAAAAGTAGGGTTTACTTACCTTTTAGTTATTGTAGTAAATAACTAATCAAAACCTTCTTGAAAGACTCTTGGAAGCAAGCACCACTAGTGTCGCTGTAACACCCGGATTCCCAGGTATGATATTTGTTCCTTTATTTTTTTGAGTTTTGTGGGGGGACTCGGCGAGTTGGCGTCTAGACTCGCCGAGTAGGGTCGCGGATTTGTATGCGAGTTCACAGCAGGACTCGGCGAGTTCATGGGTGGACTCGGCGAGTCCACGCTGTTTAATGAAACCCTAATTTCCAGGGTTTGAGACCTATTTAAAGGGCCTTATGACCGTCATTTGCGGCCACCAACCCACAGAGAGAAACCCTAAAGAGATCTAGAGCGTTTGTGAGGAAAAGAGAGGCAATCTTGAGTTTTTGTTGGTGAAATTTGAAGGAGAAGGTGTCCAAGGCAAGAGAAGGCTGAAGGGAGTGCAAATCTAGTGTCTTCAGGGATCAAAGGCTTCATATTAAGGTATTCCTTCGGACCCTCTCCAGTTTTGAGTGTTGATTCATAGAGTTAGGGTTTTTAAACCCTTTAGAAGAAGAGTATGTAGAGTATTTAGTCCCCTTTTCGAGTTTGTGCTTTGGATCTGGACTCAAAGAGGACCAGAGACCTAAACCCTTGGAGCTTTATGAGCCATTTTGGAAGTCATGAGCTTAGAATATCATTTTTGGGGCTAAATCACCATTATGGACCATTTTTATATTATATGTGTGTCAAGGTCCGAACTTTACATGATTAGCATGCTTGGGGAGGCCAGATCTATGATTGTATGGAACAGATCTGACCTCAGGAGCTGTATAGAGTTTGTTCATGGCATAAATTCGCCGAGTCCAAAGAACAGACTCGGCGAGTAGTATGAAGATTGCCCGTTAATCACTCAGTGAGTGGACTTGCTGAGTTGGGGTATAACTCAGTGAGTCAGGGAGAGTCGGGGGGACTGAGTTCAAGTGGAACTCGCCGAGTTGTTCTTGAGACTCGACGAGTTGAGTCGGGGTGGCCCCTCGATTCATGCCAGGTGGAACTCGTCGAGTCAGGGGAAGAACTCGACGTGCCAAGAGAAGGATTAAGAGAGTCAGTGGACACGTATGGACTCGCCGAGTTGCCCTAGTGCACTCGACGAGTCGGGTCAAAGTTTGACCGTTGACCTTGTTGACTTTTAGGGTTGAGTTCAGTTGTATTTATGAGAGTATTACTTTGTGTGATTAGGCGGAGGCTAGATCACATTTCTTCCGAGACAGATACTTATCGAGACCGCGAGGTGAGTCTTCTCACTATACATTACCTAGAGTGGTACTATGCGATGACCAGAGGGTCTTATGTGTTATGTGTGAGATTATGTGCTATGTGATATTGTATGTTGTATGATGATATAGACCGGACCAGAGGGTCCAATGAGCTATGACCGGACCAGAGGGTCCAACGAGCTATGGGACTGGAGGGTCCCGCTAAGACACATCGACCGGAGGGTCGTATTATAGCCTCAAGTGGCGTATATGTTGTATGTGGTATTTTGGGGAACTCACTAAGCATTTATGCTTACAGTTGTTGTGTTATGTGTTTCAGGTACTAGTGATGAGCGCGGGAAGGCGCCGACATGATTCGTACACACACACGCATTGGAGTTTTTTTTATATAGAGATTCTGGGGAGATGTTTTGTGACAATAACGTTTGATACAATGTGTTTAACATTATTTTATGAATGAATGAATGTTTTAAAAATGAAAAATTATTTTGAAAATTTACGTTGTTACAAGTTGGTATCATAGCCTTGGTTTGAGGGATTCAGATGCATCTTCGGGCGTATCTGAACTCAAACTGAGGAATTGAGGAAAATTTTGATAATGAAGTAAATTTTTTTTGAAAAGAGTAAAAGAGTTTTGAGACAAACAGAGCAGAGCCGTGTGTACGATCAGCCAGCGCCCGAACGACGAATTCCCCAAAAGTACCCTTACTTTATGTATTATGAGATATGTTACATTATGCATGCTAGAGTAGGCTAAGTATACATATTAGGACTAGAGTGGCCTGATTTATGATACCTTAGCCTAGGAGTTTTCTGCTGCTGAGATGCTTTGAGGGCGAGTAGATAGCAGTTAGGAGGTCGTGAGAATAGAGTACTTGTAATCCAAGATCCAAGGAGGAGGACTTGAAGTGAATGCTGATGCGATGTGGTTAGTAATATTGGGCCCGTACTACTGAAGACATCGGATCAGTGGGCATTTCAAGTAAGAATCTTTTGAATGACGGAGGACAAGTAGGGTTACGTCAACGAGTATGAGCATGTTCGAACGAATATCTGATAATTTTTGTTGTATTTCAGAGGCATCATGGTTGGGACTCGACACACACCTGAGATCAGTGGTGTCAGCGACGAGGAGATCCGTCGGTTGATTCATAAGGAGGTGGCTACTGCCATCCGGGCTGAGATTCCTGAGATGTTTGGGGACATCAAGACCACATTGATTGAGACTTTTGATGAGCGGTACGCAGCATTGACTGAGGCTTCTGCAGCTGTAGCTACTGATGCTGCCAGACCTCAGGGAGGTGACTCGTTGTTGTTCCGGGAGTTTAGCAACATGAAGCCACCAGAGTTCGGTAGGACGCAGGACTCAATTGCCGCTATGAGATGCATCTCTAACATCGAGGGATGTTTCTATACGTGCTCTTGTCCAGAGCACTTGAGGGTTCGGTTCGCCTTGAACCAGCTCCGCTTGGGAGCGAAGGATTGGTGGAAGTTCGTGACGGCGAACTTTACTTTGGCTGAGACTTCTGAGGTGACCTGGGAGAGGTTCACCGCTATGTTCCAGGAGGAGTATGTTCCCCCGGTGGAGAGGGAACGGTTGATCCAGGAGTTCTTGACCCTCAAGCAGGGTACTAAGTCTGTAACAGTCATCACCAGAAAGTTCTATGAGAGGGAGATGTTTTGCCCTGAGCAGGCTCGTATGAGCCGTTATCTGGGTGTTCTGAGGAGAGATATTCGGGAGTTCGTGGCGAACTCGACTTACCGGACATTTGCTGAGCTCCAGGAAAATGCCCGGAAGAGGGAGATCGAGCTGGAGACTCAGGCCAGGGAGGAGGCCAAGTCTCAGAGGATGGATCGGCAGCCGACTCAGTCTCAGCCGGCAGCCAAATGGGCTAGACCCGCTGATTCGAGATCTGGAGGCGCGAAGGGCTGCACTTGTGGGAAGTGCGGTAAGAGCCACGAGGGGGTCGTGCAGGGCTGGGGTATGCTACAAGTGTGGGAAGGAGGGGCATATCGCGAGGGATTGCCCCAAGGGATTCTCGGTTTGCTTTCATTGCAACCAGATCGGCCATCAGAAGGCCGAGTGCCTGCAACTTCTTTAGGGATCAACGCAGGGATCTGCGCCTGCTGATAGGGCTACCGAGGTTCAGCCAGTGAAGGCCAAGGCCTCGAGGGCTCGTGGGAGAGCATTTCAGTTGACCGCGGAGGAGGTCCGCGCGGCGCCCAATGTTGTGGCTGATACTTTTCTTGTGAGTTCTGTGCCTGCATTGGTATTATTTGACTCGGGTGCGAGTCGGTCGTTTGTTTCCGTAGCATTTAGTCGGTATATGAGTGTCCATCGAGAGGCATTGGATCAACCTCTGTGAGTTTCCATAGCTGATGAGCGAGCAGTGTATGCTTCGGATGTGATTCGAGGATGTGTCCTTGAGATCTTCGGGGTGGAGTTTCCGATAGATTTGATTCCGATTGCGATGGGAGATGTGTGTGTCATAGTGGGTACGGATTGGTTGAGCCGATATGGAGCTGTGATAGACTACGAGTGTCAATTGGTGACGATTCGAGACCCTAGTGGGGGAGTCCTTACAGTGTACGACGAGGGTACACGTACGGGTTCAGCATTTCGTTCGGCCGCCAGAGCAAGTCAGAGTATACAGCAGGGCTGTAGGGGTTTTGTGGCATATGTGATGGATGTGAGGGTTGATTCAGAGAGACCGAAGTCAGCTGATGAGGTCCCGATAGTGCGTGAGTTTCCAGATGTGTTCCCAGAGGAGTTGTCAGGTGTGCCTCCGGAGAGGCAGGTAGAGTTCGGTATTGAGTTGATTCCGGGAGCTGCGCCTATCGCCAAGGTGTCGTATCGCCTTGCGCCACCGGAGATGCAGGAGTTATCCTCTCAGCTTCAGGAGCTGCTGGGGAAGGGGTTTATCCGGCCGAGCAGTTCGCCATGGGGAGCGCCTATCCTTTTTTTTTTCAAGAAGAAGGATGGCTCGCTCCGGATGTGCATCGATTATCGTGAGCTGAATAAGCTAACGGTCAAGAACCGTTACCCGTTGCCAAGGATCGATGATTTGTTTGATCAGTTGCAGGGAGCATTTGTTGGGTTTTGAGCAATCTAACACTTCCTAAGTGTGCATGCAACCATAATAAACCTTGGATCTATGTTTGTCTAAATACATGCAAAATAATAATTTTCCAAGGTTCATAGCCTATCTAACATGGCATGGGGTACTTTTAAACATAAAAGAATTAGATGAGATTACATACCTTTTGATGAGTTTGATTCCTTGGAGTTTGAGAGCCAAGCACCAATAGTATGAATGCCTCAAATAGAAATCACAAATCACCACAAACACATGGAAAACTTTGAGAGAGTGTATACACACTTAGAAATTCGGCCACACACAAACACACACACTAGTGGCTATTTCATGCAACATAAGCATGCTTATATAGTGTGCATGGTTAGGGTGAAACCCTAATAACCCATGACCTTTCCCTTTCCAAGGATCCATGGGTTAAAAGCTCCATGGATCATCCATGGACTTCCATAT